ATGAGACCAAAATCCACATGAAAAGAAAATGCAAATATCAGCCAAGTCAGACTAAAATGCATTAGACTTGTCATTAAAACAAAACAATTCCTTGTCTTTAATTGTTCTAATGGGGGAAGAAAGGCCTTTGTTTATTCCAATATGGCTGCTTGTACTTTTTAAAATAGTGGTTTTGCCTTGAACCACAAACTAAGATGTCATTGCTATTGTCCTGACCTGGTGGCCTGGGGCACAGACCACTGGGACCAGACACTGCCCATAGGGCTGTACAGGCCTCTGACACCAGGTTCCACCCCTGTTACTGGCCACCAGCCTCCTATTTAGTTGTGACCCTAACTCCCAGGCACCTCCTGCATCCAAACTGCTGCTGTCTCTCCGACAACAGCGCCTTTCAGGCATTTTTGATAACCAAGACCCATTTTTTAAACTCACGAACCACAAAACATAGGAAAAAACTGAGCTTGTTATGTTAGCTGTATTTTAACAAAAATCAAGTCAAAACACAAAAACCAAAACCAACTCAGCTTGCTGGATGCAAAAGCTGAAAGCGGCCTCAGGATGAAGAATGTGGGGAGGGCAGGCTGGGATGGAGCCCACTGTGAATCCAGCACCCTCTCCGTCCACTCATGGGAGGTGAGCTGTGCAGTGGAGCGGGACTGGTCTGCATTCAATTCCCAGCGTCTCCTGCCTCACGGTGGAATGCAGCATGAGTCCTGGCAGCTCTCGCCTCACTGGTAGGCCCAGGTGAATGAGACGCCTACTCTGCAGCCCCTGGGGCAGGCAGGTGCTCAAGAAATGCTTGTCCCCTGCTCCCCCTTGTTCATCTCTCATTATTACATCTCATTTCCTCAGGTGACTCCTCCACAAACCCCCTCCCCGTTTCCCACTTCCGCCAGCATCCCCTATGGTACCCACCTGAGACCATACAGGAAGAGACTGGGTGCCCAGCAGAGGCTGGCCATTCCCTTTTACACCCGCCCAACAGGTCTGAGTCAGCAAAACCTTAAAAAAGAAAACCCCTCGGGGCACCCATAGTTCAGCTGGCCTCGTCTTCCAGGGCATGACTGGGTGCTCTAGTCCATCAGGGGGATCAGTGGATGCTCTAATTCTATGACATTTGCCTTGTGGGGAAGCTGTTGACCTCAGCCCCGAGGTGCAGTCTGTGGGAAGAAATAGAACCGCTGGTTAATGAGTTTTCCTATAACTGCACTCATGGAGGGGGCCGGCTCTCAAGGAGGAGGACCCGGGTGGACTCATCCAAAGCCTTTGGCATGGATGAGCTGGATGGCCAATTGCTTGATGACTTTGTCCCTTTCACATGCTAAGGCCAGCAAGCCAGTGTGAGCTTGAAGTTCAGTCATCCGATACTGTCTATGGGCACCCTTCCGCCCACCATGGCCTGCACAGGCCATGTGGCATCACGGTGCAGTGCCAGCTTTGAGTTCAAAAGCCCCGCCTCTAACTCCTCCGCGGCTCCCCATGCATGTTTTTACATTGAGCAAGTCCCTGCCTTCTCTGGGCTGGCCTTTTCTGTCTGGAAAATGGAATGGACAGACTCTAAGAGCTCTTTGTGCCCTTCTCAAGCTCGGAGATGACCTCCGGGTCTGGAGGAAATCTGCCTGGGGAACTCTCCTCCTGGCATCTGCCATCACCCCTAGCTCCACCCTCCAGGTCCCTAATTCACTGTTTTTTTTCATTGAGAAAAAATATGAACATAAAATTAACCATTTTAAATGAACACCCAATGGCATTTATTATATTCACAAAATTGTGCAACTACAATCTCTATCCATTTTCAAAACATTGTCATCAGCCCAAAAGGAAACCTAGTACCCATGAAACAGTTTCTCGCCCAAGCCCCTGGCCACCACCAATCTGCTTTCTGTCTCTGTGGTTTTATCTATTCTCAATTTTCCATCTGGATGGAATCATGCAATATATGACCTTTTGTGTCTGGTTTCTTTAGCGTAATATTTTCAAAGTTCATCCATGTGGCAGCCTGTGTCAGGGCTTCATTCCTTTTCGTGCTGAATAATATTCCATTGTATGTAGGGGCCACCATTTCCTTCTCCATTCATCTATCAATGGACATGGGGTTGTTTCCACCGTTCAGCTATGGTGACTAGCACTGCTATGAACGTAAGGGTACATGTATTTATTTGTGCACCCATTTTCGGTCCTTTTAGATAGGTACCTAGGAATGGAATTGCCAGATCATTTGGTGATTCTATGTTTAGTTTTTTGAGGAACCACCAAGCTTTCTCACAGCAGCCGAACCATGTCACCTTCCCACCAGCAAATCACAAGAGTTCCAACTTCTCCATATCCTCACCAACACTTGTTATTTTCCTTTTTTTTTGTACTACTGCCATCCTAGTGGGTGTGAAGTGGCATCTCATTGTGTTTTTTATTTACATCTCCCTAATGACAGATGATGTTCACCTTTTCATGCTGGTCATTTGTATATCTTTGGGGAAAAGTCCATTCAAGTCCTTTGTCCGCTTTTTATTGGGTTGTTTGTCTTTCTGTTGTTGAGTTGTAAGAGTTCTTTCTATACTTTAGCTACTATTAATAAACCTTTATCAAATATATGATTTACAAAATTTTCTCCCATTTTGCAGGCTTGTTTACTTTCTTGATAATGTCCTTTGATGCACAAAAGTTAATTTTAATGAAGTCCAATTTATCTAGTTTTTCTTTTGTCACCTATGCTTTTAGTGTCATATTTAAGGAACCACTACCAAATTCATGGAGATTTGCCTTTGTGTTTTCTTATAAGAGTTGTATGGTTTTAGCTTTTATATTTAGGTTATTGATGCCTCAATTCACTCTTAAAGGAAAAAGAAACCTACCTGAGCACAGAGCTGACTTCCTTTTTTGTCTGTCTGAGTTTGGGCTGGGAAGCAGCTGCTTTAAACCCAAAGCACATATTAATGTTTTCCAGATGCTTTCTATCATCACCTGATCCCTACAGCGTGTTATTGTATTCTGACCCCTGGAATCCAGCAACGAAGGATCGGATTAATAAGCAATGATGACACGAACCTTCACTAACACCTACTCTGCCTGAATACTTCACACCTGAGGATGAACTGCACATCTTCCATGCTGGGCCTCAGTTTCCCCAAAGGCAAAATAAGATTTTGGCTGAGGTGCCTGCAAGTATGGCTGTTGTCAAATGCTGCTGAGGTGCCATGCTCACCACTGTGCTGCTCCCCAAATTCTGATCATCTGATGGGTTGTTTTTAATTTCTTTAGCAGCAGAACTTTTCATGAGCAGGCCCTTGTGCAGAAGTCTGGGTTGTAAACAGATAAAAGTGGAGCTTCTCTGGGTAGAGCTGAGGAGGGCACCCCCACCCCCATGGTGCCCTCTCCCTGGAGCCTTTGAGGGCAGTGCCCAGATATCCAGGAGAGGCTGTGGGGGGAGTCCATCCTTGGAATGCCCCACCCAAAGCCTGGCCCCTGCGTGCTCCAGCTTACTCCTACATGATCTTCACCCTCTGGCTAATGAGAACGGGGGCCAGTGAGAAGAAACAGGACCCTGCTCCACGGTGATTCTGGGAGGGGATGTTCCCAGCAGGAGGTTTTCCATCCAGGCCCCAGCAGGAAAGAGTACGCTCCAATGGAGTCACTGCCTAGATTTTAATGGGGCAAGGTTAAGGGAAACCCAGGGGGGATGGTGAGGCACCCCACACCCCACCCCCAGAGAGGCAATAGGGAAGCCACCACACCCCAGATACGGCTGTGGGGAAAGTGTGTCCCTCTGGGGGATGGCGCAGCTACTGCCCAACCAGACCAAATAGGGCCAGGGCCTCACTTGTCTCTCCGGCCTGCTGGCGTGTCTTCTCCCAACGTGCCCTGTGGCCAAACCCAACCAGAAGCCGGAGAACAAGGACCTGGGGAGGCAGCCAACAGAGGTCAGCCTCCTGGGACACAGGACAGGGTGGCGAAAGGTGGCAAATGGATCTGGAGCAAATGTTGGACATTTGGCAACTACCCTTGGTCTCTCATGGTTTGAGCTTCTCACAGGGGAGTTTTTAATGGTCAGTATTCCAGAAAGTTCTATTTCAGTAAGAATGCTTGGTCTGGGGAAGGCCCTCAAAGTAAGTTCAGGTGACTACTACTTCCCAAATATAGGTGGGCACATGCAATGCTCTCTGCCTTTAAAAATGCATCAAGAACCACACCGAACTTGGAATGAATCTGGCTCATAAAGATACCTGGGGAAAGTTTAGTGATGTCTTTCTGTAAAGAGCTAGCAGACATAAATCCCCTAGAGGAAAGAAAATTCCCTAGAGCCATGGATTGGTATCAGTACAAAAAATAAAAGCAAAGGGCTCCCATGTCCATTAGCTCATTTTGATCCTTCCGACAACCTGGGCAGGTGGGTGGGCAGATAAGTAATGACCTGCTTTTAGCAGATAATAAAATGGGCTCAGAGGGGTGAAGCAATTTGCCCAAAGACACAAAGCAAGTCAGCGTCTAAGACGTGGCTTTTTTCTTTCTAGCATTTACCGTTATCCAACAATGTATTATAGAGCTACCAGATGATTTCTGGGCTCTTTCCCCCATAGAATGTAAGCGTGGTGAGGGCAGGGGCTTGGCCTGGTCCCTTTACTGAGAGACAATAGAGTGTGGTAGTCAAGTACTTGGACTCTGAACCAACTTCTCTGGGTTTGCCCCTTACTAGCTCTATGACCTCTCTGTGCCTCAATGTTCTTATGTGTAAAATGGGGATAATAGTGGTACTTAGCAAATAGGCTTGCTATGAAAATTAAATGAGCTCATACATGTAAAGTGCCTGGCACCTACTAGATGATCAGTCAGTATTTGTTGAATGAAAGGAAGCCAGCGCCTTGTCACAGGAACAATGACTGCACACACAGTACTTTGTTTGGGTGGTCATGCAGGTGGGAATTGTTCTTGGCATCCACATCCAGAAACCCCTGCCCTTGGCATACACAGAGGTCTGGGCCCTGCCCCCAAACAGCCGGTTTAGGACTAGGATGTAGGCCTGCTAGCCCTCTGTGTCAATCTCTCCCCACCCCGTCTTCCTTCCTTTCCCCCGTTCCTTGAGCTCTGTGCCAAGTTCTTTGCTAGACCTTAGCAAAGATATACAATTAACTAGACACTTTCCCCACCTTCAAGGAGTTTGCAGCGTTGTCTGTTGGCCTCTGGTGGTGAGAGCACTCTAATGGGCGCTCTAATGGGCGAACAATGGGCAACAGACTGGGGAGGGCAGAGGAGGTTCAGAAGGTAAAGGTGGAGGAGAGGCACCATGATCAATCCTGTGCCCTCTGCTCCTCTGTCAGCCTGAAGACCCCTATACTGAAGACCCCTTGGAGAGTCCCCCAGTGCCAGGACCCAGAGCCTCAGCTGGAACCGAGTTCTCAGTCAAGGTAAGTTGAAGTACATAGGACCCCTGTCTAGATCCAGGGCCAGGAAGCCAAAGCTACAGATTTCCTGGTGTGTGCCAGGCCCTGGGCTGAGACCAGCTGCTCCTGGAACCGGCCCCCTTTCTATGAAGCAAAGTGCCAGCTATGAAAAGGCTAAAGGGTGGGCCTTTGCCAGCCTATGAGAACTGCTATTGGCCACTCAACAGCCACTTGCTCCACACTTTACTAGGCACCCTTTGGGGCAGGCTCTGTGCTGGGTCCTACTGCTTGTGAGGCTGGTCAGGATGGTGGGGGGTATGTGGGTGGGCATGGTCTTCTCGCCTTGCTTAAAATGAGAAGTGTGGCCTTCTCCAATTGGATACTAAGTATTGGCTTCTAGAACATTCTTAGAATGTAGAAACCTCCCAAGTGGAAAGAGTTGCATGCCTTGAGTCTCAATTCTGACTTTAGGCAAGTCACTTAATCTCCATGAGCCCTCCATTTCTTCACTATAAAATGGGAATAATAATGATAATAATAATAACATCTTACAGAATTATGAAATGATCAAGTGGGATTATGGACTTGGAAATAGGTTTTTTTTAAATTTTAACTAACCATCACCAACTAATGGCATTGAACATCTTTTCACGTGCTTGTTTGCCACCTGCATATCCTCTGGTGAGGTCTCTGGTTAGATCTTTTACCTATTTTTTAACCTTAGGCAGTTTGTTTTCTTAATAAATTTTGAGAGTTCTTTATATATTCCAGATACAAGGCTATCATGGGTTATGTGCTTTGTAAATATTTTTTCTTGGTCTGTGGCTTATCTCGAAAATGCTTTTAAGTAGTAGATGCTACCTACATGTTCAGGGTCCCCCCGAATGACTCAAAATGAAGACCTCAAGAAATTGCACTCCCATCCACTTATGCCTATCTCCTGGGCTGCCTCCCTGGAGCATATCAGGCTCCTCTGAGCAAGACCAAGGGCTGGAGTTAGGAGTTCTGATACCTTGGTTCAGGGCTGGCAGTGGGAGGAGAGAGAACAGAGTCAGAATAGACTTTTCAGGCCTCGGTGTTCCTCAGTGGTCTCTGCAGGTGTCTGCAGGATCATGTGTTCAGCAGCCTGATCCCCGGCTCCTCATGGGAGCATCTCATGACCATCCCATTTCCACATGCCACATAGTTTGGATGCGTAGGGTATTGTTATGCTGCTGAGACAGGGGCCGGCTAGACACATACTCTAGAGCAGGGGTCAGCAACTTTTGAGACAGAAGAGCTGCCAGGAGTCAGTAAACTGCAGCTCATGAGCTACATGCGGCTCTTTGGGTATGTACATGTGGCTCTGAAGTAAAATTGAAAATGAAAATAAAACTATCATAGTTTCATTTATAATATTACTTTAAATTTTCCTTATTTGTAAAAAATATATTTATGGCTCTCAAATAATTTTTAAATTGTTGTGAGGGACAGGATTGGCTCTTTCAGGAGTCTGCAAACTTTGAGACGGAACATATCCAAAGAGCCACATGTGGCTCGTGAGCTGCAGTTTGCCGACCCCTGCTCTAGGGTATTCAAGCTCTAGAGCCCTCTGATCTGGAGAATGGCAGCTGAGACAAGCCTGAGGTTTCTGGCCCTCCCACCAGCCTTGGGCCAAGAGCAGCCCCTCACCAGGCACTGCCCACCCCAGGCTCCTGCCTGAGTGCCTTGAGAGAACCTCTTTGGAAGCCCAAAGGTCATTCTTCCTCCCTCCCTCCTCCTTCCCTCTGTCCTCTCCCTCCCTTCAGGCATCCCTGAGCTGCTTTCCCATAGAAAGGAGCAAAGGGGAAATTCCGCAGAAAACCACTGTTGGGGTGGTCAAACAAATTGTGAGAATAAAAAGTTGGAAACAACTTAAACATCGATCCATAGTGATTAGTTAATAAAATGAAATAGGAACAAAGGTGCCATGGATATTTTTAAAACTGACAATGTAAACTCTTATTTGTTGGCACAGAGCAGGGCTCACAGTGTACTGTTTTTTTGTGGGTTTGTTTTTGTTTTTTGTTTGTTTTTTTAAGGGTTATAGAACAGCTCCAGCCCATTTTGTGAACAGATGCACCAAGAGCCTATCTGAAAGGACGTTCCGCTAGGTGATTGCAGTCATTCGTTCTGGGTAGTAGGATTTCAGGGGTTTGTTGCTGTTGTTAATCCTTTAGGTTTATGTTGCCTGAAGGTTTTTCAATGAGAAGGACTATTTTAAGGATCTGAAATTAATTTTTAGGGAAAAAAAAGAAACAAATGTCCATGGATGTGTCTTAAGAGGCTCTCTTTGGTTTCCCTCCCTAGGGTGGTAGTTGAAGGGTCCCTCCTGGCGTGTTCCAAAGCCTACAGTCGCAGGTGTTCTTTGCCACCTTGGAGGAAGGGGGTTCAGTGCCCTCCTGGGAGGGGTGCAGGACGAAGCCTTGGCAGGTGGAGGGAAGTTCACAGTGTGCTCCTTGAAGACCAGACATAAACACAGAGCCTGGGCCCAGAAATAGCCCCTTGCCCCAGGAACCCCTGGAATTCTACAGGGTCATCTCAGCGAGGGGAGAGCCTGACAGGCCGCTGCTGGAAGCTTCCTCACAAGCTCTGAAATGGAAGGTGGGGCCTAGAGCAGTTTTCTTTGAACCTAAGGCTCTGGAATTTGGGGCAGAGACAAGCTGGTACCTGGACAAGGAGTTCTCCAAACTCAGCCCAGCTTGAAAAGTCTGATTTCAAGCCAACTGGAGATTTCCTAATTAATTGTGAATTCTGTGGAATCCCAGAAATATGGTGGTCAAAGTTATGGAAGATAAATTTCTCCAGCTGCATTTCTTTCTTTTTCATACTGAATTTAGACTTAATATCGCAACTCAATTTTATTTGGCACTGAAGTGCTGTTCTCATTTTATTATCTCAAAAATCTTCAACTTTTCACCTCCCCACCAACACCACCCCAGCATCATTCCTCTTCATCAAGAAGTGTTTATTCTTTTTTTTTTTTTTTAGATTTTTTTATTTTATTTTATTGGGGAATTGGGGGGATGGGAACAGTGCTGGGGAATTGGGGGAAGGGGAACAGACAAGTTACTGTCATTGTGTTCTTCAGTCTAGTTGTGGAGGACGTTGCTTCACTGGCCTAAGTTGGCACCATCATTGCGCTCTTCCCAGGTGAGGCAGATCAGTCGCGGGCCTCTGGACTGCCGCTCACTGCAGCTGCCGGCCGCCCACGCTGGCCGCCAGCCACACACGGTAGCCCATGGCAACCCACCGCCACAGGGGCCGCAGCCTACGCTGTCGCCGGCGACCCACAGCAGCCCAGCTCCAGGTAGAGGTGTTGTTCAGCATCTTAGCTGTAGAGGGCAGTGTCACTGGCCCTCATATGTGGGATCTGAACCGGGGCCCTCTGGCATCCCAAGCCAGTTCTTAACCATCGTGCCACTCGGCCGGCCCAAGAAGTGTTTATTCTTATTTTTCCAAAGGAGAGAGTCTCTTTACTTGCTGAGACTCTCCCAAGGTTAAAGTGTCTGAAAAACTCAGCGGATTTTAACCTACTCAGCTGGATAATCTCTTATTCCTTCCATTCATCTACTCATCCATCCATCCATACATACATCTATATATCCACCCATCCCCTCATTCATCCATCCATCCATCCATCCATACATACATACATACATACATCATCCATCCATTCTCTCACCCATCCATCCATTCAGCCCAGGGGCTGGGCTGGAGAAAATCTTGGCTTTATTCTCCTCATTCTCCTGCACTCTGTGAGGACAGCATGTCCCCCACGGAGTCATCTCGGAGTGGGAACATCATGCTGGACACACAGTGCTGTCTTTGAATACCTCTCTCACTTCCTTGTCTGGGATGATAATACTGTCTCTCACCAGTTTGTTACACAGGTAAGGTGATAATAATAATAGTGTACCAAAAGTCCCTGTATGATTATTAGAGCCTAGGCACTCAAGCAGTGACAGCTGGGAGTTCTAAGTTCCCTGGCAGCAGGGACTCTGTCTGGTTCAGTTCTGCACTGAGCAGGTGCCCGGTAGCTGCTCCTACATGGAACCTTGTCCACAGCCCCACTCCTGAGGACACAGTGTCAGGGAAAGGCTACATGTGACCTGGACTCTGGGTGCGACTGGTGCTTCTGCTTTTCAGAGGCCCAATGAAGAGAAAATTCCATAGACTACCCCCGCACCTCCAGAAAAGAAAATGCTTAGGACAGTCAGGTAGATGAGAAAAACTGGGAGCAATTGTACTGAGCCAGCCCATAAAACAACACATTTTTAGGAAATAACTACTGGATGGAAGGATTCAGTTTCAGATTTTACTGGAGAGCCCTCAGGTCTGACAATCAGCCTCGGTTTCCTTTGCTGTCTTCCCGCTTGCTTTTTCTTTCCTTAATATCGCTTTTTCTCTTCATCCCCTGGTTCTGGGCCAAATAGCATCTACCAAGAGTCTAAAATTAGCTCCTTAGGGGTCAGCTTCTGGGAAGTTAAAGTCCCCCAGACCCTGGGGACTTTCTGACACATGTGAGCACACACACACACACACACACACACACAGACAACACCCTCATAGAGGACAAGGAGTTGACAGCTGCCTTCATCAGGAGCCAGTGGATTCCCAAAGGCCGACCTTGAGCACAAAACCTTCCCAGAATTCCCAGAGGAACTGTGACATCAACTCTCCAATTCAGGGATTCTTTTTTTAAAAACCGTTTTTGTATTAATAATATAATGAATAGGCATTTATAAATAACCAATGATGAACTGTTGCCGAGACCCCAATATTTGTTTGTTTTTAAATGAGTCAGTCTGTCTGCGTGTACTGGCCCAAAGAAATGCACAAGCAGGAGTTTGCAGTATAGAAAGAAAAAGAGTATAATATTAAATTGGCCAGTCCGGAGATGGGGAGCTTATTGTCTAAAGACCGGACTCCCCATTGGCATGTAGATTACGGAGTCTATAGGACAAAATCATGGGTTAGGGGTTAGGGTTGTGCTGGGAGCTGAT